GAATGGACAAAGAGGGGATGAGGGCGTTAAAACCCATTCTAAAGAACACATTCCCTTTAGTTCTAACTTCTGGAAATCCACTCAAAAGTAGTAATAACTGTTTGGTGATTGACCAATATTAGCTAAGTTATCCACAATGGCTAAGCAATCACATGCTGGGCAAAAAGACCCTGTGCCAAGCAGCTTCAACCAGAGGGAGACTAACAAAACACGACCCCTAACATAACTGGGCAATCATCAAATCCGGGCACGACCCATCTCGGATCACCTACTGTCTTATAGAAGATCTGTCTGCAAACCAACCATGCCAGCAAAACACATACCTCGTAGCTAGGCCCAGGCTCATTAGATTGTGAACAAGGAAGTACAATGAACGAGACTCATATGAATACACCAGATTAGGCCCTCAGGGAGGATAAAGAAACTAAGCATGGAGTTATTAAACCTCATGTATGTACGAAACATTGAAAACAAGAATAATGAGTATGATTGGAATTTAAAAATATATATTAAAAAGTGTTTGGTATAAGAAATTGATTATTACTTAGGGTTAGACAAATGTGTACATATAGGATTAGAAAATATCACGAGAGAGGTAGTATATAACAAGAAATTACTTGTGTTAAACACTATTTAATAGTTTTTCTCAATCTCAATTCTAATTTTCATCCCTCATTTTTAATACTTAGCATCAAACATTTAATAAATTATGTTGATAAAAATCTCAAAATTTGAGGGTGGTCGCGTGAATACAATTATAATACCATTCCGGTTTCAATATAAGACGTGTAACATGATATTTCATGCAATGGATTAGATTGACAAAATTTTTCATGTTTACTCTTATTAAAGTTTTATTTCTTTTTATATTTATAGATCCTTATCATATTTCTCAATTTTTTCTCTTCTTCCAATAAAAATAAAATTGAAAAATAAACATTACATATATTACAAATAACTTATATTTAGAACGAAAATTTTCTCCTATAAGTGACTCACATTTAAGTAATTAAAAAAGGAACCGAAGAGAAGAAGAGAGAAAATTTTTTAATAAACTCAATTTAAGTAATTAAAAAATTAGTATTATAATTTTTTTTATGGGAAGGGTTATAAAATTTTAATAAAGAGAAGATGTAAAATAAAAGAGTAACAAAATTAATTAAAAAATTTTAACCCTAATTTTTAAATCCAACTCATTTAACATTTTATTCTCCCCTTTTCCCCTTCTCTTCCCCACACACCAAACGAACGGTGAGTGGCAATTGGCAGCGAAGGGAAGACTCGGGAGAAAAAAATCACAGCAGGATGCTACGTAATACTCTTCCGGTTCTTAATATAATACCTAATTGTTGAGTTGGTTTTAGTTTTAAATATAAGACACATTTATCATATTTATCAATTTTCTCTAAATTACCCCTATAGATGTTCCCTCAACCATAATCAAGTAGAAGAGGGAGAGAATGTATTAAGAAAGATGAGTATAGTGTTTTAGAAAAAACATGTCACATTTTTTATAATTAACTAACTTACCTAACTTCCCTAATATAATCAAATTAGTTAAATGAGTCTTATATTAAGGATCAGAGGAGTAAATGGAATCGATATGTAATTAATATATATCCGTACCCGTGACCATGGCAATTAATAAAGCAAGATATCCAGTTGAAAGTTGAGAAGCAGAACAAATGCAGTACGAGTATCTCACCAAACACTTTGTTAGTTAGGAATTAGGAATTAAGACTAAAATCTCAATCTCCGTCTACCATCTGAACTGCCACCCAAGCAAGTGGGGGATGCCTGGCTCATGTCTTGTGTTTTTGCGGAATGGCACGAACTGAATCGTCCTCGTCGATTTATTAATTAAATGAAATGGGACCCTACACACATACTGACAGGGCCCCAGTTTCTGGTTTTCAGTCTATTCACTGCCTTTTTAACGATTTGATTACACTCCGTCAAACTAATTCAATTAGCAGTTCCCTTGGTGCAGTGCCCACTGGACGTGTTTTGCGCACAATAGTCAATAAACTAATATATTCATATTTTCGAAATTATTCATAGTGAATCAAAGCACGATAAAGGATACTACGGGTACTTTGCATTCAAAACAGCACCTAAGGAGTATTTAATTTCGACGTAAAGCAAGTTCCGTAATGATCAGCCAAACGCTATTTTAATTACTTATTTGTTTTTAAAAACTGTTGTATAAAGTTTTACAATATTTTCTTAATTTTAAAAGTAGATAAAATCTATAAAAACATAATTATTCTGAGAAGCTACCTGAGTATCTTCTGAAATTAATCACCCGCGGTAAACAAGAGAGAATGTGATAAAAATATGAAAAGATACAGAAATGTCATCAAATTTAAAAATTATTGAAAAATCAATTATTTTTATGTGAATGTAGGTGTACAGAGATATCATAAAATATTCAAAATTGTTAAATAATAATAAGAGTTAATATAATTTTTTATTCTTTAAATTTGTCATCATTTTAGTTCTAGTTCTTCAAATTTTAAATCATAGGTTTTGGTCCCTCAAGAAGCAAAATAATCCAAGTTTTTATTAAATTATAGGGACTAATATTTTCAATAAAAGGAAAATTGAGTCTATAATTTGAAATTTGATGACCAAAAACAAAATGAAGACAAATTTAAGTTACCAAAATCTGTATTAATCCTAATAATAAATATCAAATGCCAAATAATTTTTAGTCTTAATAAAATCCTTACAAAATACAATCTCTGATCTTAATTACAAACAAATAGTTTGTCGTTTACGAAAAAGATTTTATTTAGAACAACAGTTCTGGGTGGCCATGAAAAATAAGGGGAGAAATGCCACGTGGCATGGTGTGTGTATTAACCTGAAACGTGGCATGGTAGTAGTTGAGAACGGGCTAGCAAGGCGGAAAGCAAAGTCCAACCAAACAAAAGTATTTTTTCTTTTTCAGGGTAATCTCGTTCCAGGATTACTCTATCCGCCGTTTGTCCCGGCTAGGGCTCCATCTCTCTTCCTCCTGTTTTAGAAAGGGGTGCTTGGCTTGCTATTCTTCGCCTCTGTTTGTTTTGTAAGTCTCAATTTTCCACCGCCATTACTTTCTCGACTCTCTTTGAATTACTTCGTCTCTTATTTATATATATATATATATATATATGTATTTTTGCCCAGCGTATTTGGGTAAAGCTTCTATTTTCCCCCTTTCATCCTCTTGTTAAGTTTCCAAACAAAGATTTATGATCCTGTCAAAATATCATTGTCACTGGCCTGATTTTTGAAGCAGTCTGGTGTTTGGGAGATGAGAGTCGTTTGTTTTACGATCTCTTGCTCTGCCTTCATCTGGCTGCTCATGTTGGCGCATAATCAAAATCCGAAAGAAAAATAAACCTTAGAAGTTGTAATTTTCTGGGGAGTTGTATACTCATTAAGTTCATTCGAAATAAATCTAATCTAAGAAAATAAACTTTCCGTGATTCGAAGGTTTTAATTTCCCTTCTCGTTGTTTCATTATCTTATCTTTATACAGCTGGAATTGATGGTTTGGGATCAGACATTATGGTTGCATGTAGGTGAATCCATTTAATAGTGGGGAGCTGGAATGAACTGTCTCCTTAAATGAGCTAAGATCCTCCGCGTTGCAGACCTATTATTATATACCGGTCAATTTGATTTTGGAAGTGGACAAAATAATTTGACCAACCTTGTTTTGGGTGGACATCTCACTCCTTTAATCTTCAATGACATGGCAACCATGGTGTTTTTAAAGGATTTGCTGCAGCAAATACGCATAACAATCGGTTAATAGCTGTTTCCAATTTTATATGTTAACGCCTCCCTACTTTCAGCGAGGCTACACTGTGAGAAAAAGAAGCACTTCGAAATATTGGCACTTGGGAACTTAAATGGGATAATATTTAAGGTGTGTTATAGTGCACTGGGCTCCCTTTGAGAATGGACAGTTCATAATCATGTTTGTTTTTCTGTTTTCTCTTTTCTGTGCCGGGTAAAAAAACTAGCTAGCATTAGTACAGCTATTGGTGATGGAAGACAATATTAAGAGGATTTGTGGAAAGTGATAGTGCAAGTAGTTGATTAAGTTGTGGTGAGTAAATAATGCAGTGCCTGCTTTTTATTGTTTTTGCCAAGTTGTTGTACTTGTTTCTTACGTACGTATCCATTTGAATTGCAGGTGATGAAATGGAGGACTGCTTCAGGGCCAATTGGACCCCATCTCAGGACCAATATTTTCTTGAGCTTATGCTGTCCCATGTGCGCAAAGGGAATAAAACTGGCAAAGCATTTAATAGACAAGCCTGGGCAGACATGACTGAAAAATTTAACATCAAATTCGGTTTTAAGCATGATGTGGATGTCTTGAAGAACCGACTCAAACGCTTCCGGAAGCAATACAATGAGACGAAAATGCTTCTCGGTCAAAGTGGTTTTCGGTGGGATGGAACATTAAACATGGTGATAGCTGATGATAAAACATGGGATGAACATGTTAAGGTACAACGCACTTTCATCGAACATTTGCAAAAGCAATTATAAACTTGACGTTGCAATTAGCTCGTGAGTATATATGCAGGCCCATCCTGACTTGCAAGCTTACAGAACTAAAGTCGTGCCCTATTATAGCGAATTGTGCATAGTTTGTGGCCATGCAGTTGCTGACGGAAGATATAGTCTTTCATGTTTTGATGTAGACTTTGAACGTGAAGGTAGGAACAAAATGTCACCATGATGAATGATATGTCTGTTTGTTCTACAAGAAATAGTCTTCTGATTTTCTCGTTCAATTTTAATTTATTACTGTGAATCACACATGGTTTGAACTATTTGTAATCTGTTATCAGAAGCTTCAAAAGAAATGGATGACCAGAGTTCTCCAAGTAGAGGGGATGGTCAGACCAATCACACCAAAATTGACTGGTCTCCGGTGATGGACCAATTCTTTGTTGAAGTTATGCTGGACCATGTGCGCAAAGGGAACAAGATTGGTCGTACATTCATGAAGAAATCATGGGCAGACATGATAGACGCATTCAACGATAGATTTGAGTGTCATTACGGCAAGGTTGTTCTGAAAAACCGGTTTAATGTCCTGAGGAGACATTACTGCTCTATTAAGGTTCTCCTTGGCAAAGAAGGGTTTAGTTGGGATAAGACGCAACAGAAAGTGGTGGCTGATGACCAATCTTGGCATCAATGCATCAAGGTCCACGTGTTCTTGGTCATGGTTTCTTTATTTACGTACTTCTTTTTGAATGATTCTGACTATCATACCTGCTCACTGTTGCAGGCAAATCACAACTTTCGGCTATACAAAATGAAAAGCATGCCTTTTTATCCTGCCATGTGCATCATATGCCAGAATGAAACTATGCCTGTGAGCATAAGCAAGTCACATCTTAAAAATGGATTTTCTGAGGACAAGACTTCTACCAGAGATGCTCAGCCGCAACCTAATGCACATAAAGGAGAAGAGCATATGAATGGTGACAAGAACTTTACACGAGAAACTCAGATGCTCTCTAAATCAGAGAAGCAAGCATTGCATTTGGGTGGCGAAAAGAACGTTCCTGGTCACCAAAAAAGGCATCAACCTGAAATGCCTCGGAACTTGAACGAGTCTAAGAGGGCAAGAAATTGTAATGGGGGAGTGCAAGATATACTGAAACATAGGATGGTCGCGATCTCAGTTTCTTCGCTAACGAAGAAAAACAAGAAAGAGGACAAGTTTTCTATAGATAATGTAATCAGTGTGCTTCAGACTATACCAGACATGGATGACGATCTGATATTGGATGCCTGTGACTTCTTGGAAGATGAAAGAAGAGCGAGAATGTTTCTAGCTTTGGATACTAATCTGAGGAAGAAATGGTTAATGAGAAAACTTCGTCCGTAGTAACTGATGAATCTGGTGAAACTTGTTCCGAGGCACGGTGAATGATTTATGTTATCCGTAACTGTAATCGCTTGGCGCTCAATCACTGAACATGGTGCCGTGATTCTTTTGCCTAACTAGGATTGATATTGAACACGAAAATTTTATGTTCAAAATTTTTTTGGTCGACATGTTGACTGAACAAGATAATTTTTTCATAAATGATAATAGACTGTGATTTGTACGTACCTTACTGATTAAATTATGTACATTTCATATTTCGATTAAAAAAATATATCTTATCAGTAAAAAAAATTATATATAATATAAAAAACTAACTAGTTATACTATCTTTGGTCCTTAATATAAAGTAGTAGTTTAACATTTAATTTGGTCTTAAATTGAAGATTTTAATATGTTTTATTTTTCATATTTATTCTTTTTTTTAAAAGATAATTTTTGTAATAGTTACACATGTTAAAAGATTTCATCAAATGGTAATTTTAATTACGGCTGTTCACGGGACGGATCGGAACCGGGACAAGCCCGTCCGGTTCCGTCCCGATGAACAGTAACGGGATAGATTTTCTGTCCCGTGTCCCGGGGTTGTCCCGGTCCCGATCGGGACGGGATGGATCCGGAACCGGGACCGGGACGTCCAAAAAATATGATTTTTAAAATTTTTTTAAAAAAATATGATTTTTTTAATTATATTTTTTTGAGCTTAAATCTTATAAAAACATCTTTTTATTTTCTTTTTTATTTGTTTGGGCACTCTTAAACAAAAGCTCCAAATATTACATATAAGAGTCATTAAAAACTCTAAACAAAAGCTTTTAACACAATAAAAACTTGCTAAAAATTCTAATCATCAATAATCTCAAATCATTAACAAATATAAAAACTCTAAATAAATATATCCATAGTTCCATACAATAGTCTCAAATTTAAAAAAAATATGAAAAAAATGATATTATATAAATAGGATAAAAAATTCAAAAAATTCAACAAAAAAAAAAGGAACCGAGATGGGACCGGGACAGGGACGACCCGTCCCGTCCCGTCCCAGTCTTTTTTTGTCCCGTCCGGTCCCAATAAGACAGGGACCGGAACGAGCCGACCGGGACGGACCGGCCTTGAACACCCCTAATTTTAATTAATATATATGATTAACAAAAATACTTTAAAAAAGACAATATCTATTTATTACAAATATATAACTTACCTAATTTTTTTAATCTACTCAAATTAGCTCTTATATTAAGAACTAAATATAGTAGTATTTATAAATCATGAGTAATATAACTTTTATAATCCTCGCATACGAAATATGATAGATTATTAGCAAAATTATGAAAATCCCGTCAAGATCTAAATCCAGTCCCCTCAAAACAATGTCACGAAAGTTTGTTTCACTTAAAAATAGAGAGAATAACTTTTAACTTGTAGCAGAACACAAGAATCGCAATAGATTTGAAGAGAGGTCCATGTAGGATTTTGGGTAATTAGAATTTAGAAGCGTGAGGGGGGGGGGGAGATGAATAATATACTTTACACATTTCACGAACTTCTAAATATAAAGATAGAAAACAATTAAGATTATTTAGGCTAACAAATACAATCAAGGTTTGTCAAGAGTTTATTTGAAGTTTAAATGACATCTCTATGAAAAGACAGGAATTATGGATCGTACATCCCAAGTTAGAAGAGAAGGCGGATGTGCGCATTATGTGTGAGAGTTCTATTACCTATGAGGGGAAATGAGCTAAATTGTCCAAACAAAAACAAAAAATCAATCAAAAGTCCCCCCCCCTTTTTTTTTGTGGGGGGGGAGGGGAGATCCTGTTTAACTATTGCTCTTTCAGGATCTGTTTCGAAAAAGATTGGTTCATATTTCAAAGGGATTGGTGTTTACATACATGGTAGCAAGAAATGTAATGACCAATCATCTCAACAATAAATGGAGAAACTCCTCAAGACCTACTACTCATTCCCCTGTGGTTTCTAAGGTATTTACGAGACTAGATCCTTCTTTCTTCCCTGTACACTCGGTGAATCACAACCCAATGGGCTCTAAACTTTTCTGTAGAAAAGAACGTAAGCAGCAGAAGTCTTTACCATGTCCTCACTGGCAGGGACAACCCTGCTATCATCAAACTCGTACCATTTATCATGTCCATACTGCATCCAAGCAAACACAAGTTGGATGAGTAACTTCAATTAATACACCAAAATGCCAATAATAAATTTTAACATTGATAAACAATATGCACAGATGGTTTTATAGAACCAACAGCACCTAACAATCCAGAGTGCCAGCAACAGCTTCTGTTTGATTATTCTTTTTCAAAGTACTTTTTAAAGAAAACCGAGGATGCCAATATATTAACTCACTATACTGTCCACAATAAATTGACGAAAAATAATATTTTGCAACTAATTTTAGAACAAAACTGGCAAAAAAATATATCAGCTGTTCTGCAGAAACCTTCAACCTTTTATAGTCAATACACGCCTCAACATTGTTTGTATTTGTCCAGGTCTTAAATATGTGATAGGATAATGAAATATTTAATTTATTGTAGGCAAATAATCAAATACTTAATTAAAAATGAAGAGAAATATTGTTTTAACTGATTAAAAGCCATCTCCCATAAAGCTGTACTTACACGAACCAATGCTGTATAATGACCTCCTCCCAAGCCTCCATAATGACAGCTGATTGCATACAACTCGTAATGTGGAGAAGACGGGCTATTCTTGTGGGCAACATAAGTTGACAGGTCCAAATCATTGATTGGGAAATCGACGAATGTTTCTAGCTTGTTCTTAAAGTATCTGCTGAATGAAAACCTCTTCAAATGAACAACAAGAATTTCAGGTAATCTCCAAAGATCTAGTTTTTTAGTCGCTTGCTGAGGCTTTTTGCACTTAGGACAGAACCTATTAGCACACCATATTACAATATGAAACGTTAGACAAGCTGAATCATGCATGGCCCTTTGGGCATAATGAACAAAAATTAACGTATAAAATTTGGCACTTGAAAAATGAAACAGCCTGGCATTTGAATGCCAATTACTCAGATTTGATTAATAATTTAAAAAAACATATTCATAAATAAAATGGAAGACAGTTTATCTATACTAACCACATGTCATCTGGCCCAAGAGGCTCCTCTTTTAAGAATGCTTCAAGGCACCTGTAAACAGAAACAGATTCTTGTGTTCTCTTACTGAATAACTGTGGCTTGAAAACCTCAGGCAACGAGCTGAGTAGGCATGTATCATATCTCTCTATCATCTTATCTGACCATAGGACAGCAACCTCCAGCTTTTTGGGTAGCAGTGTGAATGGTAATGGTTTATTCATTTTTATCTCCCCATTATCTGTCCCTACCGGTGCATTTAGGTAGAATTTAAAGTCAGCCTCCAAATCTGAATCCGAATCACCTTCCAAGCACGTAGAGCTAGTGGCATCGCTCAACTCATTATCTTTACTAACTTCAATATCATCATCATGCTCATCTAAGAAATCTTCAGAGGGCATCAGAAACGGATTAATTAACTTCAGAAACTCCCTACGAATGTCATATCCACAGGAAACATTGGGCAACCTTGCCACAATAGGAATGCCAAACAAACTCTCTACCAACCTCTCCCTCCCCAAACTGCACTGCCTGAACCAAAAAAAAAAAAATTGCACAGCAAACAAAGCAGACTCCAAAGATCAGGAAGGAGCAGGTAAATAGCCAGCAGTAGAATAATACAAAAAACACACTTAGTCGCCTGAAAAACACACCAAAAGGAATGAAGATTTATACAATAATCCTCCAATATTTTATTCCGTTTCACTTAATTCTATTTGAGACACAAGCAGCACACATTAGCTCTCAGAAAGTTTGCAATGGCATGTGAGTCGGACAACATAAAGAAAAATATGAAAGTGCCCTTAGGCTATGTCTACTATGTGCTAAAACGTCTTGCGAAGCTGATAGCTATAAAAAGTCAAATCTACTCAATTTTTAGGAGTATCGTAGAAGGTTTTAAAGTAACTAATTAATAATTAGTATCATGCATATATACCTCGTCTCTTGAAGGACTGGTACTTCATATGTTCATAATGAGCAGAATGAAGAAAATTAAGATGACATTCCTTTGGGAATTGTTATCAAATTCTAATTTTGTACAAGTCATTCATATTACCATCCTAGGGCAATTTGTTTGATTCTTTGATCACCTAAAATGGTAAAATTCACACACGATGTAGAACGGAACCTAAGTTCTTCATTTTCAAACTTACGCAGGACAAAAACATACAAACACACTGTAGGAACAAAACTGACATAGTTAATTAAAATATCATTATCATGCTTAGAAAGCTTACTTCGTCACCTGCTGATGCATGAAAACAACCAAGGGGCCAGCCTCATCTTTTGGCAGTCGATAAGCAACTAGTTTGTCGTCATCTCTAATCAAGGCTAACGAATCAGATGGTTCCTCCAACAGACGACAGATGCGATTCCTGTATATCTGCAGTAAGCAAGTCCTTGACAATTGTTAGCACTTTCCCAGGAAATTAAAGGCAACTACCTCAAATATGCTTCATTCCACCAGTAATGCATTGATACCCTAAAATATAATCCAATTCCTCTTTAAAAATACAACTTCTTACCTCGGCTATCAAGAGGGTCTCATCATCTCTTAAGGAACATGCATCACCCAAGGCCTTAATAAGATCCTTCAGTAAGCCACTCTTGGGTAATGTTATGGTAAATGCGGAAGGCAGAGCACTCCCATCAGTGCTCAGGACAGTCAAAGTGATCGTCCGCATTGTAGTAGAAGGTAATGGCAAAGATAGGTGCATAAAAGGGTCAAAAGTGATAGAAACCTTCTTGCAAACAGGGCAGACCAATGTTGAACGGAATTGACCCTATAAGAAAAGGAACAGAATAAGTTTGCTTTTAAAACAGGTAATCATCTCATGCAAAGTAGCATAGCATCCAAAATCAAACATATGACAAATAAAATGATCCTCAAACCAACACCAGATGGATTTCTCAAAAAGTCAAATCATGATTGGAATCACAGGCAATTATACATTTTTCAATACGTCACTTTATAGCACATAAATTCCAGGACTTACTGTTGAACCTGTTAATAGGAAAGTTGGGCTCAGTGTTAGCTAATTGCCAGTTTTACATTACCATAACTTCTTCCACCACACCCAGCAATCCATTCATAAGCAGTAATCCAACATATTGTACTCAAATCCTCTGCTAGGGACAAATAAGAGGACTTCTTCTATCAAGACTCTCAATTTTCTATCTGTCACAGGTATAGAAACTCAAACTGATGTATAACTGTAATTAATTTTAAATATTAAGGACAGGCAACGTGTTTTACTGTATTTCCGTTAGTTTGTTAAGTTTGTTAGGATAGATTATAGATAAGCCTATGATATTATAAATAAACAGCAAAGGATATCCAAATGTATGATTTATTGTTCAGATTAATGAAAGTGCACTATTCATATATGTTCTCTGCCATCTATCGTTTCCTCTTCTGTTCCTCTACTTCCCCTAGTCTCTCATGTTCTTCTCTCCTCTTTCTGGTTTCTTTCCTCTAATCTCTACTTTCTGATTCTCTCTAAATCTTTCTATTCTATTCTTTTTCTTAACACTAAGACATCAGAAACCTACAGGCCATTGTACACTAAGGAACACATGAAAGCCAAGAGACAAGGATATAGGATTTTTCACATAACATCAGGAGAAAAAAAGGCGAAGACTCACTTGGCACAAATCAACTATTATGGAGTCATTGCGAGCAAGGTGATTACGCCAATATTCTTCCGCCACTTCTTCATCTGGACGGCCATCTTCATCCTTAACTTCATGATATGGTTTGCGTTTTACACGATTAAGGTCTTCATGGAGTCCATCCAACAAAAAAGCAAGAAGTTCCTGCAGACACCTCACATACGAAGAAATTATTTCACCTAAAAAATTATCCAAAATTCATTGACTATGAGTAGAAGGATCAGGGAAATTAAAATTGTTTTAACATGCAAATCACATAGCAAATGAAAAGTACTAACTTGAGAATCATGCTGGTTATAACCGCTAAACTGAGGAGCAAAATTAGCAAGCTTCATCTTGAACATTCTTGGTGCCACAGGCCTCACTCCAGGAAACCACAACTTTCTAAGTAAATCCCCAAAAGCTAAAGCAAGTTCTCCCTGAAGAAGTTTTCAAATGGAAACAGAGAAACTCAGGGATGCCAAAAGGAAGATACTTGAAAGAGGCAGAAATGACCATGTAAAACCAAGAAAGAAAATCTAAATCGTACATTCATTCCCAAGGGATTTTCATAATTTATTTCTTTCCGGTAATCTCCCAGAAAATAGTCAACAAGCTTGGGGGTGTGAACCAGACATTGAATGGCGCTATTCATAAAACAAGTGTTTCCAAGATTTTGTAATCCTGTCAAGCCCAAAGAACCAACAGCTTTATAGCTACTCCTTCGAAAAGAATTGATAGCTGTTACATTGGAATTCACATTGTGAGTGGTCCCATTCATCATAACAGTGCCACTGTGAGACGAACATCCAACTGTATATCTATCTACAAACATCTCATTGCTTCCATTAATCGTTATAGAATCAGAAAGTCCATAAACTTGCAGCTCCAGGAGAACCTGCATGGACAAAGATGAAGCATGAACGTTATAAAAAGACTGAATCTGAAGATTCCATGTGTTGCAAAACTAACAATAACTTTCTAACAGATAACTGGAATTATTACGGAAAAAGGCCATAAAATTTCTAGGGTCCATTTGAATTTATAATCAAAAGCCCAAAGCATCCTCTGGAAAACAACCTAGGACACTGACCATCTTTTTCTTACAGTAAATACCACTATCAAAATTTGTAGAAGGTTACAAGTTAAATAGCTCATCAAGAAGTCAATTAACTCACAAATATTTCAATCCATGTAAAAGTTAAATATATAATCAAATTTAGCAGCCGCAGCAACTTCATTCAATTTTTATGCTCTCAATTGACACATCCTAGTCCTCAATGAACAGTCATTGGCATCACGGTTTATCTTGATTTAATCACAAGCTTCTTGGCTGAAACGGTCTGTGGCATGGTATCAAAGCCCTTGAGACTGAATGGTCAAAAAACATCATTGCCACCCCAATTACTCTTGTTTAAGAATAAGTTTCAGCACAGAGTCCATTGGACTTGTGCTTTGTTCACAGTTTAACTTAAAGTGCTTGTTGTTGACATTCATAAATTCAAGTGATTTAGACAATTGTCTTAATTTTTTGAGTCTCTATTTGCTCGTATGATATAGCACAAATCACCTCAAACTGAAGCACAAACCCATGATATAGTGATGGAAAACCTCCCTGGGGGAGGGGAGATGAGTTTGCAACTCACCCCTTTTTCAAGTTGCCCAGAATACTCGTTATCGTCTATGAAAAATTGTGTTGTCTGGCCGGAGAAGTCCAAAATGTGTACCTGCACGTTCCATGTTATAAATAAAAGCCAGGACATGTACAATAACATCTCTAGAAAATTAATTGTCAAATAACTCACTGGCTTATATTCAGAGCTGAAAATATTGCCGGCTTTCATGTAGACATCAACCATATTTTCCTGAAACCATGCTGTCTATTGTTAGCCAATGGTAACATAGAGCTACTTAAAGATAAATAGAAAATCAAATGCCATCTGTGGGGTAAGATCCATCCAGAAGAGGAAACCAAGAGTATCATTAAAATCAAACCTTTTGGCTTATCTTTGCTACCAAAGAATTTGTTTCCCATGAAACAAATATCCTAACTTGCAAGGAGAACAAATCTGGCGAACAATCATCTGTATAGCAGAGGCTCCCAAAATCCTTCACTGCATTATCGTAATCATTACACCTACAAGAGTAGTGAAATGAGTCCAGACTCAATTTCTGAAAAACATGTCATCATGAAGAACAATTCAGAAAAATATTACAACCTGTAATGAAAAGAGATCCACCATGAAATATCAACAGATGAATGTTATTCCTAAACTTAATGAGCGAATTCAAATTAATATGCGGATAGCATCTGGCAAGAGAAATGCTAATCAAAACTCAATTTCCAAAAACACACACATGAAGCCGTTTATAGAACAATAGTGCCACATGAGTTCTGCTACGGTGACAGAGGAAGTGTGGGGGCCAAAGAATCACGACGTGAAAGCATTATGGCTTCCCATTCTACAGGACCTGATGGTTGATGCATCTAGTATAGCAACGGAATTTTATAAGGGCATGTGCACCAAGTGAGCTAACCCCTAACAAGAAATCCAAGCTGTGGCTGTGGAATTCATTTTCTCCATTATTTCAGTTCTGAATTCTGAACATTATTATATTTTCTGTTCCCCTGGCTGATGAAAGGGCACTTCAGCATTAATTAAGGTAGCAATAGTAAAGTGATCTTGCTGCTTATTCACAGTTTCACTGTTTCTTTTGAAAACAAATGAATAGAACTTTTAAAAGTTATAGCAGGTAACAACTACAGCCGCCTCCTTTTATAGGAGGGATTTAATACTAGATTAGGTTCACTAGTCAACATATGTAACATGTTCACCAATTAAATTTACAAATCGGCCAGGCAGATATGGAAGAAGGTGCAATGCTATGAATAAAATAACACAGAGTTTGAGGCATTGTTCTATGAGTAAACAATGTCGCTTATATGTAATAATTTTGAAATTACAGACAAGGCGGTCTTGCATTGTGGCATTAGACACAATTGCGATAAAGAATTCCCATCTTGGGACACAGAAAGATGACCACAATGAAGGCATTCGATAAGTCGTCAACATTTTGCTCTTTCAATAAACAGCGACCTATAAATGAGTTTAAAGGGAAATGTAAAAGGCAGAATGTGCGCGTGAGTTTGATTTTAAGGCTCACCTTTTAAGAGCACGCAACCACAAACCTTCAGGAACCAACGCATATTGACGGCCTGAAGATCCCACCTCACTATTCATAGTTTCGTTCTGGTTGTCTTCCTTCCTTAACTGAAGCACAATTTCTGAGTCAGACTCGAAATCAGAGTTCGTTGATACAGTGTATAGGACATGTTCTCCTCGATCAGCATCCCCTTGTACTTCCTTCCACCACCTGCAATCCAGGGGGAAAGAAGAGCGCGATTGCAGCGCGAAAAAAAAAAATCTTAAAAGTAAAGTTAACAAAGACTGATAAAATCATTAGGGCAAGCAAAGGAACATCAGTTACGAATTGATTCATCCATAATTTTCGCCGGTGACCGGTATTCCAGTTGCTTAAGGGACAAGGATCCGACGCTGACTACGTCTTTGTCGACACGGAGACGTAACTGAACCTCTCAGGGCACCCTCCCTCCAAAAAGAACGATTGGAGGAGGGGAATACGGCAAAACAAAGAAATGCCTTTCAGTCCATCTCCATTTTCCAATTTATTTAATTCATTTCATGGGCAATCATAAATGAGATAAGAAGGAAACAAGAAGAAGTGAATCACCAGTAAAGAACCAAGTAGAGGGGCTCATTCTCCAATTGAGGCTCTTCTTCTCGGCCGAAGCGACGTTGGGGACGGGAATCGAGGTCCCAGAAGTAATCGTCGTGATCGGTGAATAAACTGTCCATGGTGAGGAAGGAGAGGGTTTTGTTGAGTACAGAGCGAACAAGGGTCTTGCAGAGATGGAAGGTGGAGAGAGAGAGGAGAGTAAGCTTCTGAGAGAGAAAACGGGTCGGTTTGACGACCAGGGAAGAAAGGCGGATCTTCTCTGCGAAACGGGTCATAGCCTTTAAACTCCGTTGCCTCGCAGGCCGCACGTTTAAGAACCCTGGTGCCCCAAAAAAAAATAACAAAACCTGAAAAGGGACGCGCACGCGCTGAAAGTCGGAGGTGGCGCGGAGAGGGGGTGGCGGTATAGCACACGCGCGAATGTGAAGAGTAAGGTTAGACAATCTCATCTGGATGGTTCCAGGGGTGTCTCCGTCCGGTCCGGTTACCCCTTTTCACACATGCCGGGCAATGCTGGCTGTAAGATGATCACCTACGGTCGCATGAACTTGTGGGCCATCCATGTTGTCATTGGGCTAATGGGCTTGATACTTTTTACCTAAAACAGAAAAAGGTGACCTTTTGCGCTTCGGCCTGTTACAAAAGAAGGAAACTAACATCACTTTGAAAGTAACTTCTATAACGAAAAATAGATGAGTTGCCTTGTCCATCATCAAACATCAAACAATAAATGAATAACTCGTCCATAAGCCCTATCACTATCAAAGCATCGTGCCACCGATTTAAGTAATTCTATTAGGCGAGATAATATTGAGCATTTATATCATTTCTGATTTTTGTAGTTTTCAAATAAACACAATAGACATGTTGAAATTGCCTTGTGTTTCTGCCCAGATATAAAAGGATTTGAATCCTCTAATTTATTTGAAAACTTGATGTATATAAAATTATAATCATGAATTTTTTTGTCATACAAAACCTTAGATGAGTTGAATTTGGAGGACTCATAAAGATCAAAACATGTCTTTAAGTTCAAAGAGCACTTACAGAGATATTTATAAATCGCTCGCCAACAATATACACACATTGGCAGCAATAATTATAATCATAATTAATTAGCCATCCCTTTTTTGTTGCATATTAGCTATAAATGCCGCCAAACAGAAAGGCTAAACATCTGGGCCGAGCTCACGGAAAAATGAAAAGGTCAGTGGTAAAATCGGGCTTAAATGCTTATAAGTCAATGACCAAGAAAAAGCCCAACAAGAGAGTAGGGATCCAGATAAGATCAAAATATTCCGAATTGGTTGTCAAAATATTTCGAATTGGCTCTCAGACTTTCTGGTCCATTAAGTTTATCCTTTTCGTGTTGCACTTGAGTCTGGGCTTGACTACCAGAGAGTGCCAGCTGAACAAAGCTTCCGTGATTCTATAGTCCATGACTATTAAAAAAAAAAGAAAAAAGTTCTACTAGTGGAGGTAGGTCTAGAGAAAATGACTAATCCCTCACAATATAATGAATCAATATTTGAATCTCTACTAGGAAAAGTGTCCATATTTAGTGCCTAAGAGTGCCTTGAATAGGATCATTTCTAATAGAAGGATGTTTGGGTACAAATAAAATTATAATGTTAAAAGTGCTTTTACGGTATATGAAGTAAATATGTGAAAGCGTTTGTCTCGATTTGAAAAAAAAAAAAAGTATTTTTAGGGTTACCTAAAACCCCCTTAGTACCGGGTCAGGTGTGGCAGGAATATGATGAATCAAGATTTAAATCCTTACTGGGAAATATGCTCACATTTAGTGCCTAATAGTGGTTCAAATAGAATTGCTTCTAAGATGACACATTTGCTTTAACAAAACAAAAAAGAAAAAGAAACAGTTCTTCAATACTCTTTGGAAGTGTTTGGATATAAATAAAATTATAGTTTTAAAAGTACTTTTACGGTATACAGAATAAATATGGAGTTACCGAGAACTTTTTTAGTCTCGACCTTCCAGGTTAGGTGTGGCAGGAATATTGAAGTTTGGGGGATATGGCGCTGCCATTAAAACAGCTCGTGGTTGATAGGTCCGTTTCATTAACAAGGCGGTTGCGAAAGCATGCTTCTCACCGCCAAGAAACACAAAAGAGCGTGAAAGAAAGCATTCTATGGAGAGTATGGATTGAGACGTTGCATGTGTTGTGGAACATGCGGGTGTATCATTCCGAGTGGTGTGTGCGTGCCACTTTATCATATAACGTGTTCTCAAACTTGCTCGCTACCAATCATGACACCTGCACTACAAAATTCAAACCTTATCTTCATCAAACATTATTCATGGCCGGCCTTCCTTTGCCTTCTCTGTCAGGTATAAAGTTAAATCTCAGTGTCGCACAAATACTCTTGTTCAAGCCAGCCAGTCCAGTTGAGATCATTTGCTTGGTCTCTAATTCTCCAAGAACCCAACCCCACATGGCTAAGCATATTCCTGACCCTCGCAGCGACAAGCTAGGTGGATAGCTATTAGAGAAGCCTGTGTCGTGCAGAGATAGAAAGAGAAGCAATCAAATTGAGTATAGTGGGGACCTACTATATATGGATGGAGAGCATGAAAAGAATTTGGCCTTCACAGGGAAGGCATCGCTTCTGGGATTCCTTCACAAAGTTCATGTACAGGAATTTTATTTGAAGTTACCAAAATGTCCTAACGGTGGAAAAAACCTCTTCCTACCAAGCAAAACCATGACCACCGCCGGACCATCCATAGCTGCCTCCGGCAACGGTCACTTTCTCAAAAAAACTCGACATCTGTGCCACATTATTTTAAAACAAAAACATTTTACACTGCGGAAAAAAATAAGTCAATTCCATGGATTCAAACAGAGACTTTCATAGGTTTGTCTGAGGAAATAAATTTCACCAATTTTAATGAAACTTGACTTCCGCGGAAGCTAACTTTGATACCAAACATGCCAAAATCTCACTTCTCTCCCCAGCTTTCACTTCCATGCTCCCCGCTTCTGTGCCTTAAAGTGGAACCCGTGGACCTTTCCATGCCTTCTCATTTTCAACCATACTTAATGGCGTTTATAATAATGTCTCCATTTGAATTTGTTTTGGCACGAGTTTCCATTTGAATTTCGAATTGAATGTCCAAATTAAATATCCACACCCTCGCATATATCAGTTCCTCCCCTTTCTTAAATCCCTTAATTTAATTACTTTCACTGAGTAATTGATTGAATCACTTCTTTTCAATCACTGGGTTACATAAATTACGGATATTAGTTTAATTAGGGAGTTCATGTGTGGATGACTGAAATGGCCGTGAAAACCACCTGCTATTATCGATTTTTATTACGCTGATTAATACTGCCTGAAACACAATTGTCTTGCGTGCCTTTCTTGTGATGACAGCCCGCACTGGCCATTTTCGGAGCTGTTAAGAAGCAATTCGCATTTCAAGAATTCCGCTATAATTGACGAATCAGAGTCTAATGTGTTATTAACTTATTATATAAGATCTCAAATTTTAATTATAAAACCTCATTTACAGTTTACAAACCAAGTCTTACAATTAGAATCAAATGTAGTATATGCCTTTTAATCGAAAAAAGCCCTTATTTCAAAATGAAGAGAATATAAGATAGCATGTTATTAACTTCATTTAGCTGATTATGAATTTTCAATTTAATTCGATAGCTTCTCATCAAATTTAATCGGCACGACCTGATTTTTCGGTGAATGGAACTGTTCCATTAAATGGACAAATTCCATCGGATTATTTAACACTTGGTGGTGGGAAGGGATCAGTTGACCAATGGGGGCTAGGGGCCAATCAATTGCTTCAATATTTTAGGATCACGACGAATGGTGCTTGACATATTTATGCATTTAATTAATATTGATTTGCAGAGCCGAATTTTAGGATGGGTGGGCAATATTATCGCAAAGTTTGGTTTAATGGCAGGAGTAGGCAGACGGCCTAGGCCAGATGATATAAATATAATATTATCCATTTGTTTAGAGATTTTTTTAATTATTATTAAATTAATGGAAGCTTTATTGTTTTATTAGTACTATTATTTGTGCTCGGCCTGCCCTTTGGTCTCTGACTCTTGTCCCTTTTATGTCATTGGGTTCTCCACACGACACCACGTAACTGTGTTATCCGTTGCTTTCAATGTGTGCGTGTGTTTAACTATTGTGTTACGATCTCTAAATAGCTATATAGCTTTTGCTGTGCCTTGGCCTAACCATGGATAATGATTTGTCTTTGCCTTCGCATCCCTTCCGTTATCTGGAAAGCGGGGGAAAAAAGTTTGTGCGACAGTATGTTATTTAGTTTAATTATCGGATCATTTTAAACGTGTGCGATATATTTTATGGGTATTTTATCATTTAGCACGGAATAGTGTTTTGAGATGTGATATCCCTGTAATATAAAAATAGCATTTTACTGAATAATAGTTTAAAATATTAACATTTTCAACAATTAAAAGTAATAATTGATGGATTTAATTAGTTTTTGGTCGAGATAGATGGGGGCTGCAGAAATAATAAGTTTAGTAGAATTTCAATAAATTTCAGTAATTATTAATTGCGTTATAAATTTATTTTTTTATTAAAAAACCTATTTAGTCACTAAAAAAAATTCTATGTCCTGTTTTTCGCTTCCCCATGCTTCCAGTAGAGAGCTGGAGTGGGAATTGTTGGTATTTACGGGTTAAGATTCTTAAGAGGTCAAATCATGATCAGTCTTATTCAAAATATAATCAACAACCATTTATTGGCCAAACAAATGAAATTATAATTACCAGTTTTCGCTTTAACGATGAACTTTTAGCCGGGACTTTAATAATTAGCCGAGAGCTTTGGTGCTTGGACCGAAGCAGAGTGCTCTCGTTATACTTTGTTTCGTCTTCAGAAACAATAAAATAAACCATGGAAATCCATGAGTATTTTAGTTTTAATCTCACTATTTCAAAATTGAGGCTTTACATTGATTCGGTATATTTTAAAAACATTTTCAAACTTCGAATTGAATAATCCGAATCTGAATCTAATTAATCAGAATGAATACGCTCAAACGACTAGTTGGTGGATCGCGGATGCAGCTGGCGTGGGATTCGCTCTGGTTCCAGCGGACGGGACAAGCATACTCTAGTATTATTTTTTATTTTTAATATAAAAATTAGTTAATTCATTTAAGTAAATTAAAAAATCAAGTCAATTATTTGTAATAAATAAATGTTATCTTCTTTAGAATACTTTTACTAATTATGTATATTAGCTAGAACTATTATTTAATAAAAGTTTTAACCTGTGTAACTGTTATAAGAATTATTTTAAAAAAAATAAATAAATATGGAATACAGAATTTTATATTCAGAACTAAATTAAATATAAAACTAATTTTTATATTAAGAATGAGAGATAGTATACGCAAACCTGTCGTGGAATT